TTGAAGTGGGTTGGGGAACTTCACCGAGTTGGGTTGAATTGAGTTGAAAAAATTTCTAGAATCCACTGAATTGAATTGAATTGAGTTGCATATTGCTCTCAATGAGTTGAATTGAATTGAACACCTTTTTGAGTTGAGTTGCCCAGCTATGCACACAAGTAACGCTCGCCTGTGGACTCGCTCAGCTGTTTCTCGTAGATATATTGTTTTACAATGCTACCAAGATTTTTGTTTATGCACTGTAGAAGAACTAACATCAGATTCGAATTTCTTGACCTCAAAAACCGATTGGTAAAATTTTATAAAAAAAAAACAATTTTTTTGTAAAAAACTGCTTCTTCATCTAAAAAAAAGTTTTTTATGAAATATTTCAAAAAAATAACATCAGATTCGAAGTCTTCGCATCGAAATATCTCTGGAAATGTCTTTTCCGAAAAATCGCTTTTCGATGTTTTTTTGACCCTGCGGACATACAAGCAAGCATGCAAACAATTTATGTCTCTAAGACTCTTCTCTACGAGAAAGAGAATATAATAGTTTAAGAAATGATCAGCGGCCGATTTCAATACCAATCTCAATGTAAATTTCCTCTCCATATTTCTATTATTCTCTATTTTCAATGCACTGAATGACAATATTATCTTGATCTATCTCATTGGTTCTTTAAACGTTCCAATAACAAATAAGCGAAAACCTTAAGAATAATCAAGAGAGGAAGAATACCAATATCTGTTTCTTTCTTTCTTCGAATCACGTAGATCTAAACTCTATCAATATGAAATAAGTAGAAAGTAATAACAATAAAGATAGAGAATACGCATTGTAAACTGGTATTTTACTTTGATTTTAATTTCAGATTGAAAATGTCGATTGGATATTCAAGTACTATTGAATTGTTTTCTGTAGAATTGTGGCGAGAAATTTTTGATTATTTAAATTTCCGAGACATACGATTTTCATTTCGTAATTTGAACCAAAAAATTGATGCAATCATTGATCAAACAATGATACATTTAGATTTTATTAGCCCAAATAATTATGCATACTTTTTGAAATATGTTGTTCCATCGATGAATATTATGAATGTCCGATCATTAAAATTACAAGACGACAAAAGAACAAAATTGTTTTTTACCATGTATCCTTTAAATTCATTAGAACAACTTCGTTCATTGTCTTTAAATTGTATGTATTCTTTAAACGACAAATCATTTCAATTTTGGTATCAACTTTCGTCGTTAAAATATTTACAAGTATTAAAAATAAAATTTTGGACCACATCTGCTCGTGAGAATTGTATCGATGAAAAAGAATTTATTATTCGATCAATATTTAATAATGAATTTTGTCCTTTATTAAAAGTTTTTAAGATCCATACATGTGGTCGACAGAGATGGCGATCTTCAATTCCTTCGTTAGTAACAACAACTAAAACAACTCATATTCAATATCTTTCGATTGATTCATTAACATTCGATGATCTGCTTAGGCTACTTTCCGCTTTGCAACATGTTAAATCATTTCGTACGGGTTATCAATTGAGTTTAAATGACAAACAAAAGCAAGAAATAATATTTACAATACCATTAATGCCTAAATGTATTCATTTATATCTTAAATTATCAGATGAGATTACTTTTGAACATGTCGAATATATATTAAAGCAAGTACCGCATTTAAAGGATTTATTCCTATGGGGTTGGAAACATTTACTTGATGCAAAACGTTGGGAAACATTATTATCAATACAATGTTCGAAAATATCCAAATTTGAATTAACATGTACTGGTCCCGTCTGTGATGATGACTTCGATGATGCAATTGATAGTTTTCAAGAAGAATGTGCAATAACACCATTTTGGATCGAACGAAATGTTATAATTATAGACGACGAAGATCGTTCGGGTCATGACTATCGTTCTGATGTTATTATTCAATTTAATATTGAAAAAGTATGTATTTTCTGTGTGAAGAGTTATTACAAATGCACATAGAATATGTACTTTCTTTGTCTTTCCAGAAAAAGCAACAAACTGAACAGTCAAATAACTAAATATGATTAATAATGTTATGTTTTCCTTTTGTTCTTGTTAAACATACTTGTTTGTTTTGTTGTTCCATGTCAGAAGAATGGTTAACTCAGTGAAATAAATATAGTATTGCTGAGAGTGTAGTGTTTATTTTATTTCCTTATCCACAATCTTGATTCAAAATGAAAATGATGATGTTTATCTCTTCGTAAAGAGAAATTATTACGCATCAAAAAGTGTGGTTTTTAAGAGTGAAATTAAAAGAAAAATAATGATCAAAGTACAAATAAATGATTCCACCGCTATGAAGAAGAAATGTGATTGGAAAGCAAATGTACATACGCTATCATAAAACGGTCAGACTGAAAGGTCAAATCTAACAACGTATCGGTCATGATATTTATAAGCAAATGATCACTGTTCTATTCTCAACACTTTGAACATAATGACAACCTTGGAACAATTATCAAACGAATTACTATTGATGTGTTTTTATTATTTGGATGAAAATTTTTTCGATTTTTTTATCAATTAAATCAATATATGGAAACAATTAACAACTATCCTCATATATATTCATAGCTGAAGATAAATACAAACTGAAATTAATCTTAGGAGATGAATTTTTTACTCAATCATTTTCAAAATTAAGATCATTATTTGTATCAAATATTGATTGTCACACTCTTGCTTTGATTATTTTCGATTGTCCAACAAAATTATACGAAAATCTTGAAAATCTAAGCTTGTTAAAGAATGTCACCGAATGTAAGAATATTCTTGTCGATAGGACACTTGATTCATTTGATATCTATTTATAGGGTTATGAAATCATTAAAATATCTTAAATTGAATGTCAAGTACGATGAATCTGAACATTGTTTTGATTTACATTTCAAAGAATTCACAACGGAAAATCCATCTTTATCCAATTTAGAAACGCTTATTATTGGATGTAAGTTATTATTATTTTTTGTTTAATTAACCATCATTGATATTTTGATTAGTTTGTACCATCAACTTTACAATATGTAAAAATCGAAGTTGAAGGAAATTGATCAGATTCAAATGATGAAGAAATAGTCACGAATTTTTTACGAAATTTCCTTTTAAGCAGCAATCCATCTAGTACGAGAATAGTTAAGATCATTTTCATCGATAATTCAAATAGTTTTTCATATGAATAGTTAATAAAATTATTGGTGTGAAACTATAGTACCAGGAAACTAAGAGTTTTCAATTCTATATCGAACAGACTATAGGTTTTATCGACGGAAATTCATTTTCACAAAATTCTTATAGTTTCATGGTGCTATAAGTTCACACCGACTTGCTCTTGCCTTTACCCGCCCATCCCCACACTTTCACAAGTTCTGCCTTCCAACTCTCGATTGCTCAAGTTGATGAGGATGAAATAATTAGTTTTCAACCAAAAATGGATGTACTGAAATCTATGCCATTGCGTTTCGTGAGATTTCTGAATTTATTGAAATCTTAGACGTTTCTCATTTGATTAACAAAAAACTAATTTTTGGAAGATCTACTCACTCACATCCTCAAGATCGAATACCAACTTGTTATTCCTCCAAAACCATTTCAACATACATTTCGTTTAGTGAATTGTACATAAAAACATCTATGCTTGAGAATTTGATGATCTGATCAGATCAACTCAACTGAAGAAGCTTTTTATTTTAGCACAAATATTTTTGGCAAACCATCCACGCACAAAAAATGACGACGAAATTGTGCTCATTAAAAAACATTGATCGATGAGCACTACTTGGAGTAGTTGGAACCGTAGTCGATGTTTTTCGAGTAACCGTCGTGCTAGTCGTTGCAGAAGTAGTACTTGTTGTTGTTGTTGCGAACGTGGTCGTAGTCGAAGTTGTTGTTGTAGTAGTCGTCGTAGTGGTTGTTGTCGGTGTAAAAGTACTGCATTGATCCATGTCAATATCATCAAAAGCGACAGATACCGGTACTGATTGTGTTTGATTGACATATAAAGAAAAAGTTTTGTCATACAAATAATCATTAACAGGAACAACAGCGATTTGCCATCCTTGACTATCATCCAATGATCGAGACCATTTAACTTGCGGAAAACCCGATCCGAGAAGAAGGATGTTTGTTGCATTTTGGTTAATCAGTGTTGATTTGACGTAATAAGCAAATTTAATACAAAGATCAAAATTTTCAGTAACAGCTGTTGTCGTGGATATTGCTCCAGAATCAGTCGAAGTCAATGGAAATTGTCGATTCCAATAGAGAAAACCACCGGATGTTGAATTTGTTGTATGATCACGAGTTGGACCAAGATTTTTGTTAGGTATTGTCTCACCAGTCGAGAGAGTAAAATTGAAAACGGTCTTTGACGATCGTGCGCCATTTATCATTCCACATGTACTCGAATGATCAAAATCACAAGAAAACGAAAGGAGAGATGCAGTTGTGGGAAAAGGAGAATAGTCACATGAAACGATAGCAATGTTATCAATAGCAAATGTACTTGGATAGAAATCTCCATTAAACACACGAAATAAAAGTGAATAATTACCAGTAGGTAAACTGACAACACCCCAACTCCTAACGAAGAAAAACGTACAGAAACGAAAGGATTTTTATCCTAGAAAAACACAATTCGATGTCTTACCATCTGTTGAACGTATATCTACAATTATAAGAATTGTTTCAGTGACTTAGATCGATTAAAAATATTTACTCATATCGATGTATATCTCCTGTTGGCCAAAGTTTTTCAATTGTTTTCGTTTCATTGGATTTCCACGAATAAATTGATAAATATGTTTGAAATCTATTCGGTCCTTGAGTACCATAATATCGAAAATTCAAACAATACGATTCATTTGATATGATTTCAATTTGTTTTTGTGCGTGAAGATAACCAAGACCTCTCGAAACATTCCATATTAATGCATAATGACCTGATACATTTCCAAAAGTAAAATCCACAGCCGGTGCCGCTCTGTTTATTTTGACAGCATCACTCGCATTGAGAATTGACCATTGATATGCATATTGAGTTAAAGAAACAAAATCATCTCTACATGACGATTCAAAATCACATAAATCAAACATTTTGGGAGGTACTGGACTTGCTCCATCGCAATACTCGACTGAAAAATCATCGAATGTTAACGGTTGGCTTGTGACATTCAATCGAATAAATATCTTCAGCTCCTCAGATGGTAATGTAACATTGATTAATGTCCAATCGTTAGTTGAAACATTTTGTCCTGAAGTGGAAAATAACACACGTGTTAATTGTCCATCGTCACCTTGTCCAACTTGAATATTGAATGGGAAATCAGCACGAGATGTAAAGTACCACATGGAAAAACATAAACTACGATTCGCAGACAGCGGTAATGAGTTGGTCGTTTGTATTTGTGTCNTAAAGGACAAAAAATCATTATTAAATATTGATCGAATAATAAATTCTTTTTCATCGATACAATTCTCACGAGTAGATGTCGTCCAAAATTTGAATTAATATGTACTGGTCTCGTTTGTGATGATGATTTCGATGATGCAATTGACAGTTTTCAAGAAGAATGTGCAATAACACCATTTTGGATCGAACGAAATGTTATAATTATAGATGATGAAGATCGTTCGGGTCATGACTATCGTTCTGATGTTATTATTCAATTTAATATTGAAAAAGTATGGAGTTTCTATGTGAAGAATTATTACAAATACACATAGAATATGTCTTTTCTTTATTTTTTTCAGAAAAAGCAACAAACTGAATATCATTGATAATTTTATGTTTCTCTTTTGTTCTTGTTAAACATAATTGTTTGTTTTGTTGTTCTATGTCAGAAGAATGGTTAACTCAGTGAAATAAATATAGTTTAGTTGAGGATGTAGTGATTATTTGATTTTCTTATCCACAGATTCAAAATAAAAATGATAATGTGTATTTCTTCGTAAAGAGAAATTCTTTTTGAAAATTCTTATTACTTTATCGATATTACACATAAAAAAGTGTGATTTTTAAGAGTGAAATTAAAAAATCAAAGTACAAATAAATGATTCCACCGATATTAAGAAGAAATCTGATTGGAAAACAAAATGTATATATGTTATGAGAACCGGTCTGATTGAAAGGTGAAATCTAACAACGTATTAGTCATAATATTTCTAAGCAAATCATCACTGTTCTATTCTGAATATTTTCAAACATAATCACAACCTTGGAACAATTATCAAACGAATTACTATTGATGTGTTTTTCTTATTTGGATTTTTATCATATTCATAAGATATTTTTTCATTTAAATTTTTGTTTCAATCAGTTAATTCGAAATGAAACAAAAATTCATCTTTATTTATCTTCAGTTTCAACTGGAAAATTTTTTCGGTTTTTTATCAATTACATTAATATATGGAAATAACTAACAATTATCCTTATACATTCATAGTTGAAAATAAATACAAAGTGAAATTTAATCTTAGAAGATGAATTTTTTACTCAATCATTTTCAAAATTAAGATCTTTATTTGTATCAAATATTGATTGTCATACTCTTGCTTTGATTATTTTCGATTGTCCAACAAAATTATATGAAAATCTAAGTTTATTAAAGAATGTCATCGAATGTAAGAATATTCTTATGATATAGAACATTTATTTCATTTGATATTTATTTATAGGGTTATGTAACAAATTAATTTCATCAAAAATGAAACTATTAAAGTATCTTAAATTAAATGTTAAATATGAAGAATCTGAACATTATTTTGATTTACATTTCAAAGAATTTACAAGGGAAAATTAATCTTTATCCAATTTAGAAACTCTTATTATTGGATGTAAATTATTTCTTTTATTTAATTAACTATCAATGAATATTTTGATTATAGATAATGACTGTGAGACATATACAATAGTCTCGTTCGAAACATTAATTAACAAATTATTTCCACGTTTACCAAAATTAAAACATTTATACTCATCGATTTTCTTGAATTTGAAGATTATTATATGAGTCAACAACGAATATGTATTTTTATACAAACATTATCGAATCTATTTTCTTATTTGTCAACAGATTCCACCATCTACAATAGAAATTAGTTTAATTGTACCATCAACTTTACAATATGTTAAAATTGAAGTTGAAGGAAATGAATCAGATTCAAATGATGAACAAATAGTCATGAATGTTTTACGAAATTTCCAAAAGTAAAATCTACAGCTGGTGCCGCTCTATTTATTTTGACAGCATCACTCGCATTGAGAATTGACCATTGATATGCATATTGAGTTAAAGAAACAAAATCATCTCTACATGATGATTCAAAATCACATAAATCGAACATTTTTGGAGGTACTGGACTTGCTCCATCACAATATTCGACTGAAAAATCATCGAATGTTAATGGTTGGCTTGTAACATTCAATCGAATAAATATCTTTAACTCCTCAGATGGTAATGTAACATTGATTAATGTCCAATCGTTAGTTGAAACATTTTGTCCTGAAGTGGAAAATAACACACGTGTTAATTGTCCATCGTCACCTTGTCCAACTTGAATATTGAATGGGAAATCAGCACGAGATGTAAAGTACCACATGGAAAAACATAAACTACGATTCGCAGACAGCGGTAATGAGTTGGTCGTTTGTATTTGTGTCCATTGACCTCGTGGAATCGATAATGGATTATAATAACGATAATGACCGGCACTTGTGTTTAATGTATGATCATGATCGATACCTTGAGAATGATTACCATCTGTCAAACCCCAATTTGAATCAAAAGTAAAATCAAAACAATCGGTTTCAAAATCACAATGAAGTATAATTGCATTATTCAAAAAGATATGACAACATAGAAGACTAATAACAAAATTCAACATTTTTATGAATATCTATTAATTCTGCATATGATAAAACATTATATAGAAATATTTTTAGTAAAGATGTTGCACTTGTGTTGTGCAAGAATTTTGTATGACTCGCAAAATCTTATCTTCAACCGATAGATAAGATAAACGATGTGTAAAGATTTCAGATTCATCTTTTTGAACTTCATCAATTTCCTTGTTCAATGTCTCGAGTTTTTCAATCATCTATCTCACTATACGTAAACGTATAACACATCACGTGGGTGAGGATGTATCATATCCTTGCCCTACCAAGAAGTATTTCATTTTGTATTCAATATTTGTAAAAACTCTAGTTGATGTCAGTGTGAAGATTCAACTGGAATGACATGTGTTTTTTTATTCATACAGTATATCTTATCGATTTGTTCGAAGAGTATGTTTTTGACAACAGTATTTGTATTTATTTTTATCCACATGGACGTACTTAATATTCTTCATTAACATTTTGTCTTTTAGCATCGCCTACGACCATCAAAGTACTCAAAAATCGAATAGATAAGAATATCACGAGAGATTATTTTAAACATCTATTTAAGACAAATCGTCTGTGTATGAAATTTGCACTGAATATTTTGATATAACAGATGTTAATTTTTCTTTTGAAAATCAAAGCCTTTTCTATTTAAAGTCGATTAGAATCGTTAAATATGTTAGAATATTTTCTTCTAAAACACCATGTATTTCATTGCAATTATAGCTGTTGTTCTCGTTGGAATTGGTTTAGTTGATGGTGAAACACATTTTCCACCAGTTCCGTTCAACGAAGCGTGTATTTCTCAAGGATTTAGTTCGAGTCATACGGCTGTTGATATCGCATCGTATGGAGGAAAACGTATTAATTTATATGCTATTTGGGATGGAACAGTAACAGGTGTTTGTAATGGTGCAGGAGATTTTGATCAAAGTCGATGTGGAGATTGTGGAAATTCAATTGATATTACACATAACACAGTGAGAGTTCGTTATTGTCATTTAACTGCTAATTCAATTCGAGTCTCTCCTGGTCAACGCATTGTACGTGCACAAAATCTTGGTCTTATGGGTACATCAGGTCTTTCCACTGGTGTTCATTTACATATTATTGTCACTGAAATCAATGGAGGACAAAGACGTGACATTCGATCTCGTCTTGGACTCAATGGGTGGAACAGCTGTTGAAAATGTCAAAATAAGGCATTTTCATCTTGAAAAGGAAAAGAAATTCTCTCGATTAATAACTCGATTTTATCGGAGAACATTCAAATAAAACATTTCAATACTAAAACAAAATTTTTTCAGTAATTGAATAGAAAAATATTGTTGCATCGATGCAAAATTATAGGAAAACAAAGAAAACTTCCTATGATCATGAAAATATGCGAAGGAATGTTTTTTAAAAATGATAAATGAACATATGAGAAGATAATAAAGAGAAAAATAATAAATTGGAAACGAATCAAATATTGATTCTCTTGAATGTGAAGTTATTCGAATTAATCATCTTTTTTTAATTGATGATCATTTTCATGATAAATGCAATGTAAAAGCATCATTTATTTGAACAGAAAATGATTTTTTTCTCAATCAGAAATTCTTTAGAATGGCATAATCGAAAATATGTCAATAAAAAGTGAATGAGTTTTACATCATGTTGAATATTCGATTTTAAATAGAAATTGAACTCGTTAATTAAATTTATTCGAAAGTGATCATATTGCCGAAGAAAATCTTCGAATTGAACGACATTCAATTTATTTAATTGACACGATTTGTTAAGTAATAATTCTTCTGATATTTTTAATTTATATAAGTTTAATAGTTGAAGAAACAATAACAACAAAATTTTCTATACTTTCAGGAAACTTTCTAGTTTGACAAAGTTATTCCAAACGTCTACTTTAAGGTTAATTTTGGATTCTAACGCTTAGTCATTAACACCTCGTTTATAATGAATCGATATTTATTTAATCGAAATTATCAAAGTTCGTGACAAGTTCTTGTCGGTTTCCAATCGAATTATTTGACCTGGATAGTAGAGGGTTTTTTTCGTTCTAATAAAGAACAAATGAGATATGCATCGAAATGCTACTAAATAATTTTGATGAAGTATGAAATACAAAGGATGAAAATAGTTTTTATTTTCCATTAATTAGATTTTATAAATGCAGAGAAATCATAAAAATACGAAACAATATTTATCTATAATGTTAGTTAATAAGATTTTATTTCATCAACTGAATAAACGCTCTTGATTATTTATATTTAGAAAATGTGTATGAGGAGATTTTTTCAATGAAAACTAAATTTAATTAAGGAAAATTTATTTTTAATTGTAATATTCTTTCAAGTATGACGGGCGTATGGTGTAATGGTAGCGCTCGAGTTTCCGGAACTCGTAACCCTGGTTCGATTCCAGGTACGCTCGTTTTCTTATTTCTTCTTTTCTTTCTGAACATGTAAAAAATTATGAATGAATAAATCAATCAAATGCGAAGTTCGGATTCCGAACTAACTCATAATCACCATCAATTCCTAGAAGGATTTTTTTCTTTAAAACTCATCACACAATATCGTTTTTACATGTATTAAAAGGTTCTATTTAATTTCGTTATCGGTTCAAGTTTCATAAAAACATAAAAATTCGCTCAGTACATTCATCCGACCGGTGATTTTCGTCCATCATTTATTGCTGTAACTGATCTTAATCTTGACAATCATTCAGATTTGACAGTTATTTATTATGGTATTGATAATATTAGTATTCTTCTAGGAAATGGAAATATTTATAATACTGTCTATTATTGATTTTCATTGGCAATTAAAGATTTAAGTGATGATAGGCATTTAGATATTTTAGTCGCAAATTATGGTACAAAGAACATTGAAATCTTTTTTCGATATATGGAAATGAAATATTTACAAATGAACAACCTTATGCAAAAACACGAAATTCTCCTTCGACATCTGTTATACTCGTAATGATTTCCATGAAGATGATCAACCAGATCTCGTTGTTAAAAATGATGGTATCAATAATATACTTCTATTCAATTGATTATTCAAGTAAACCATCTGTGTGTCAAACGACATATTTTGTTGAACGTGAATCTCATTCTTCATCTATTTTTATCTATAATTTCAATAAAGATGCGCAATTACGTAGATGCACTTGTTGATGGTTATGTTGCTGTTTTCAATGGAATTGACAATTGAAAATCTGTTCCAGGAGATTCATATTTAACAGAAGAACAATCGACTGCACACAACATATGCGTCTTGAAGATTTAAACCGTGAGAATCAAATTGATACGGTTAGAGTTTATTTAGGAAGGGAATTCTTTTGGTATTGTCTTTGCTAAGGAAATGGAATATTTCAATCGATGAAATCTTATCACATTTGGTATTCGTTCACAAGGCCATATCTTTTTACGTTATGGCAAGAGATGTTTTTCTAATACGGAGACATTTTCAACTGGAATAGATACTAATCCATATGGTTTGAGTGTGGAAGGTTATGATAATCGATCAGATATTGTTACAAGTAATGTTGCAAGTAGTCGCACAAGTTTCTTAATTGGAGATGGTTTGGATAATTTTATTTTATTACACACATATTCAACCGAAACTGCAACGTTGTCCAATGGAGTAGTTGTTGATGATTTAAACAATGATGAAAGTCTGAATGTCATTGTATTTAATCGTATAACTAGTACTGCAAATGTTTTTCTTGGATATGATAATGGAAGTTTTGAAACACAGATTCTTTACTTTGTAGATTATCAATCGTCCTATATGACTTCAATAATCATAGTCAATTGGATGTGACTGTTATCAACTTTAACGAAAATGGTGTTGGCATTCTTCTTGGATTAGGAAATGAAATAACATCTTTCAAAAAAATCGTAGATGATTTTAATAATGATAACATCGTCGATATTGCTCTTGCTAACACAGAAGCGAATACGGCTGTTATATTATTTGATGTTGATAATGAATCGTTTTTACTAGGCATTACGTATTCAACTGCGGTGAGATGGGCTCTTCAGACACTGTTTCAGTTAATTCGGATACGAACAGTATCAATGCTTTTCTTCCATACAGTTGTCAACTTTTTTTGTCGGTCTGAGAAACTATCCGATTCTCAATTGATCTCAATCGTGACAATTGGTTAGATATTGTCGTAGCAAATTGTGGTACTAGTACTATTAGCGTTTTATTTCAACTTGGTTATGCAATATTTAGTCCGATGATCACATATTCATTTGCCATTGTAGACTCTAATCATTACAATCATTCAGATATCATTGTTACGAATTCTCAAGCGAACAATATTAATTACCATTTTTCATATCTATAACAGTAAAATATTAATTTTAACATCGATGTATTCAACTTGTGTTCGTTCTCAACCTTGATTATTTCGATAATGAAGATAGTGTCGATATTGTCATTGTTAATTCTAATACAAGTCAAATATCTTTGTATTGTATGAAGATGAAAATGGAATTTTTCGCAACGAGATTTCGTATTTATTAAAAGATTATGAAAGTCTCCAACATTCAATTACTTTAATTGATCTAAATCAAGATAAAAGAATCGATTGTAGGAAGTTTATACTACAAACGATATAGATACGCTCATCAAAATATGTGACTAATTAGGAAGCAGAGATTTGTGTTTCTTTTAATGAAATAAATACAAAAGAAAAACAAGAAAACGAAGTGAAAAAAGGTGTGATTAGATTTGAATTTGTCTCCATATAACATTGAATGTAGCTGGAGGAACTGGTACATTTTCAAGTGATATAATCAAATATTTCGGTGAATCTTCTTTGATATCTATGATTTTNTCTATTCATTGCCATATTCCATCTCCTTAGCAAAGCCAATACCAAGCGAATTCCCTTCCTAAATAAAACTCTAACCGTATCAATTTGATTATCACGGTTTAAATCTTCAAGGCGCATAGGTTGTGTGCAGTCGATTGTTCTTCTGTTAAATATGAATCTCCTGGAACAGATTTTCAATTGTGATAATCATTTCGATATTGTCGCGAGTATCTCAACTCCTATTCCACTTGGAGTCTTTTTACGTTATGGCAATAGATGTTTTTCTAATACGGAGACATTTTCAACTGGAATAGATACTAATCCATATGGTTTGAGTGTGGAAGATTATGATAATCAATCAGATATTGTTACAGGTAATGTTGCAAGTAGTCGCACAAGTTTCTTAATTAGAGATGATTTGGATTATTTTATTTTATTACACACATATTCAACCGAAACTGCAACGTTGTCCAATGAAGTAGTTGTTGATGATTTAAACAATGATGAAAATCTGAATGTCATTGTATTTAATCATATAATTAGTACTGCAAATGTTTTTCTTGGATATGATAATGAAAGTTTTCAAACACAGATTCTTTACTTTGTAGATTATCAATCGTCCTATATGACTTCGATAATCATAGTTAATTGGATGTGACTGTTATCAACTTTAACAAAAATAGTGTTGGCATTCTTCTTGGATTAGGAAATGAAATAACATCTTTCAAATAAATCGTAGATGATTTTAATAATGATAACATCGCCGATATTGCTCTTGCTAACACAGAAGTGAATACAATTGTCATATTATTTGATGTTGGTGATGAATCGTTTTTACTAGGCATTACGTATTCAACTGCGGTGAGAAGTCTTCATCAAGATGAGCTCTTCAGACACTGTTTCAGTTAATTCGGATACGAATAGTATCGATGCTTTTCTTCCATACAGTTGTCAACTTTTTTTGTCTTCTCAATTGATCTCAATCGTGACAAATCGGTTAGATATTGTCGTAGCAAATTGTGGTACTAGTACTACTAGCGTTTTATTTGAACTTGGTAATGCAATATTTAGTTCGATTATCACATATTCATTTGCCATTGTAGACTCTAATCATTACAATCATTCAGATATCATTGTTACGAATTCTCAAGCGAACAATATTAATTACCATTTTTCATGTCTATAACAGTAAAATATTTATTTTAACATCGATGTATTCAACTGGTGTTCCTTCTCAACCTTATATCGTTGTCGTTGATTATTTCGATAATGAAGATAGTGTCGATATTGTCATTGGTAATTCTAATACAAGTCAAATATCTTTTGTATTGTATGGAGATGAAAATGGGATTTTTCGAAACGAGATTTCGTATTTATTAAAAGATTATGAAAGTCTCCAACATTCAATTGCTTTAATTGATCTAAATCAAGATAAAAGAATCGATATGGTTGTAGGAAGTTTATACTACAAACGATATAGATACGCTCATCAAAATATGTGACTAATTAGGAAGCAGAGATTTATGTTTATTTTAATGAAATAAATACAAAAAAAAAGAAGAAAACGAAGTGAAAAAAGGTGTGATTAGATTTGAATTTGTCTCCATATAACATTGAATGTAGCTGGAGGAACTGGTACATTTTCAAGTGATATAATCAAATATTTTGGTGAATCTTCTTTAATATCTTTGATTTTAAATAAAGTAAATGGTAATAGAAGTACTTCATTTTCACCCCTAAAATTTGAAAATTCATTTATTCGAATTGCTGTGGGACATTCATTTGGAAATTTAAAATAAAACAAAATAGCGTAACTCTCTGGATTTATACTATCAGCAAAACATTTAGCTACTTCTTTGCTTAATGAAGTTGATTGTAATGCACAGATTTCAATAATATGATTTGTATTCTCTTTGGCTTTTTTATAATCTCGAAGAATCTTTTGATAATCATCAAAATTATCTTTTGTTACTCCACGATAAAGTTCACATTTAGATAAACTCCATTGTTTTAATCTATCCAAATGTAAGTAGAGTAATGTTGAAAATGCATTATTTTCTTTGTGAAGTGCATTGTAAAGAGGAGTATTCATAGTATAAATTGTAAGTAAATGTTTGGGATTTTTAGTTTTAATGTATTCTTCAAAGATCTCTTTCGCTTTTTTGTATTCCGATTCTTTTGTAATATAATGTTTAAGAAGAGATTCAACTATATTAACAGCTTCTTTTTCCATTAGAAATCTGAGTAATCTTTTGATAAACCAAGAAGAACGAGTAATACTCATGAGAAATCGAGCGTCCAAAGCATCTGTTGCATTTTCATACAGATGAATCCATTCAAATTCATTATTACTTAATGAAACATTGTCGATACTAATGAAATGATTCTTCATCGATGAAGATTCAGGAAAAAGTGAACGAATATTCGAAGAAAATGCACATTGACATGGAATTTGTCCAATATAATTTAATATTGATTGTGAATGAGGATTTTGTCCAAAATTCGATTGTAAAAGAAGTTGAACAAGATCAAAATAATTATTTTCACATGCAATGTGAAGAACTGTATTTCCATACATATCTTGTCGAATAAATTCTTTATAAGATAATTTCGGTAATAATTGACGAACTAATTTGATATTATTATGACGACATGCTTCATAAAATAAATCAGCATTTGATATGGACTGACAAAGTATCGACATCGTTTAACAATGTGAAAAAAGAATGAAAAATCAGCAATCTAGAAACACAAATACAATCCAATAGAATGTTATAAAAGAATTAACAAGTAAAATTTAAAAACGGAATTGATTTAAAAGCGTCTCATGATGCTTTTTGTTGTTACAGAAATATGTCAGACGTTAAATTCAATCGAATTGAAATATGTTGTTTCATGTAAATATCACAAAATACAGTTGGAAAAAAGGAAGTGGATGGCTCAATTCTAACTGTTTTTATAAAACAAAAATCAAAGATAAATCATTTGTTTCTTATTTTACAATGTGTTTGCCAGATTTTATTAAAAAAGAATTGAACGTAAGTTTTTATTTGAATTTCTCTAAAAATTGATTTTGTCAATTTGTTTAGGCATGTTCCAGAGGCTCTTGTGACATTGCTACGATCATTTGTGCGCAATGTTTTTTCTTACGAATATTAAAAATAGATCTCACTAAAGACAATGGTATAAAAAATCTTGTTCCTGGTATATCTGCATGGTTGAGCAATGTTATTCGTGCACTTCTTATCATCATTGTGTGCACAACTATTTTATTAAATTCATTAGTATGTCTTATTATTGGAAAATACTTTTCTTCGTTAAATTCAAATTGTGCTACAAATCTTCTCACTTGGATGATCATTTGTGGTTCTTTCGGTTTGGCTTTTAATTTTCTTATTATTTTATTCGTAAGTTTTCTTATCTCCAGAAATGAAAATTTTATCGAAATTAAATCTTATTTATTGATTATATCTATTCTATTGAAGTTTTTAGGTAATTCTCAAAATAACATGTTGTCCCGAAGATAATCACTTCATATTTTCTGCTCTGTATGCGTATACGATTGGTTTTGCCATTTTTGCGGGCTTCATAACTATTACTTATGGTTTTTCATGGATTGGTGATGTGAAAAAGTCAGCAGAATGTTTCCCTGGTTTAACATATTATGCATTGGCATCGTATTCTATCATATGTTTTTGTGCTTTTGTTTTATTTTGCTATGGTGCAGTTGTTTATTGCAGATATCGATGCAGAAAAGAACCAGATGAACAGACGTATCATGGTGCATCACAAAATAATTATCCTTTATCTGATGTTCCTGTTTCAATTGTCTATAATAATCGAGCAAAAGTGTAATTATGATAATCAGAGATAAACAACACAAGAGATTTGCGTAACTTGAGGATATACGTGAGAGTTTGAAAAAAAAAAGAAATTATTTTTTTTTCTTGTATTATCATCATTTTTATTTATTAGTAAAAACTAAAAAAGCATGTTTTTCAAAAGCATTCTAAAATTTCTAGTATAATGTTTATTAGGCAGTTGCCATTTGCGCAGTTAAGCGCATTCGCAGATGACATCTCTCGCCAATCCAGATTTGACCATTCGTGCGAATTCCGAGAAATTAATCTTTCCAGATCCATCTGTGTCAGCCAGAAAAATACAAAGATCAACACGATACTGAAATAAACAATAGTTAGAGACAAATAAACTCGATTTTTCAATTCGAATAGAAATTACTTCATCGGTAAGAATTGATAAGAATGCCCGTAATTCATCGGGCGAGATGAGACCATCAGATAGATTGATTGTTCGATTATACAGACCTCTTCTACCTTGATCGAGAATATCGAAAGCACGTGAAATGTCAGATTCTCGTTCTTGATTGTTTCCGAGCATAAATACTCGTAAAACTTGTAAGAAATCATTCCATGGCAATTTTGGAACTGATGAAGAAATAGTTGCTGCAATAGAATCAATTAATGAAGAATGATACACTTTTAATGTAGATTATCCTAACCGTTGTTGTATTCTTGTTCGGTGATTGTACGAGAATGAAGAACAAGGCCATCTTCGATCAATTCCACAGTAACACTTGTAGCATAACCATCAGTTAGTTGCGTCGTATATTTAGCAGTTCGAACCGACCATTGGGATGATGCAGGAAACACAAAGTTTGCTATTTTATTTAATGCAATTTAACAAATACAACTGATACGACTGGACTTACTTGGTCTTACAAATGTACGATCAAGTTTCATACCAGAAACATCTAATATTTTTTAAAGAAACAAACAAATAAGACAACTCATTAATACATATTATGAAAATGATACACTTACAATCACCTGGAAGTAGACCATATTGAGCAAAACTAAATAATCCACGTTTTCGAGTAGAGCTGCCGCTGCTGCTACTTATGTATCGCTTATCTATTTCAATATCATAAAATGAAACTCAGTGAAAATTTGAAAATCTTGATTGCAAAATTATAGTTTGTTTTATATTTAGGAATATGAACTTTAAACTTATCTTTGTTAATAATCAGATGATTAGAATTTTAAAAAACTTTTATATATGTAATTATATCTGTGGGATCTCATCGCTTTTAGTCATTGCTGGAAAAAAAGAAAGAATATCATCTCACCTTCCACGTATCTGTTTCCACTTGAAAATTCATAATTGATAGCACCTTCGCGTATATTTGAATATGTTAATGCCGGGAGTGACTATAATGACTCAAATTTCTTAGATGTACTTAGCAATTATTTGAAAAAAAGAATTTACCAGATCTTCAAAAACACCAGCATTACGAGCCATTTGAACAAGTGTTGATGAATCTAAAAGTGTTCCTCCATAACGGGCTACATAATGCGCCGGATCTTCTCTGATCACACCATCTTTTTCGAATTGTCGAACAACACGTGCATCAACCCCTTCATAGATAATAATTTTATTACGCGGCTCTGGATATGTAACAGTATTTTGGACTCTTTCAACAATTGTACGACGTTCAGGTTGAGGTCCATATGGAAGCCATCGTTCAATGATGATATCACCTAAATAGTAACAAAACAACGATCAATTACGAAAAAAAAAACTATAAATAAATGTTTTTACGTGGTCTCTCCGGTGCAGCTGGAAAACGTTCAATGATAACTGATCTCGGTGGANCATTTATTCGAATTGCTGTGGGACATTCATTTGGAAATTTAAAATAAAACAAAATAGCGTAACTCTCTGGATTTACATTATCAGCAAAACATTTAGCTACTTCTTTGCTTAATGAAGTGGATTGTAATGCACAGATTTGAATAATATGATTTGTATTCTCTTTGGCTTTTTGATAATCATCAAAATTATCTTTTGTTACTCCACGATAGATTTCACATTTAGACAAACTCCATTGTTTTAATCTATCCAGATGTAAATAGAGCAATGTTGAAAATGCATTATTTTCTTTGTGAAGTGCATTGCAAAGGGGAGTATCCATGCTATAAATTGTAAAAGCAAATATTTGCGATTATTAGTTTTAATGTATTCTTCAAAGATTTTCCATTAGAAATCTGAGTAATCTTTTGATAAACCAAGAAGAACGAGTAATACTCATCAGAAATCGAGTGTCCAAAGCATCTGTTGCATTTTCATACAGATGAATCCATTCGAATTCATTATTACTTAATGAAACATTGTCGATACCAATGAAATGATTCTTCATCGATGAAGATTCAGGAAAAAGTGAACGAATATTCGAAGAAAATGCACATTGCGACATGGAGTTTGTCCAAAATTCGATTGTAAAAGAAGTTGAACAAGATCAAAATGATTATCTTCACATGCAATGTGAAAGAACTGTATTTCCATACATATCTTTGTCGAATAAATTCTTTATAAGATAATTCCGGTAATAATTGACGAACTAATCCGATATCGACTGACAAAGTATCGACATCGTTTAACAATGTGAAAAAAGAATGAAAAATCAGCAATCTATAACACAAATACGATTCAATAGAATGTTATAAAAGAATCTCATGATGTTTTTTGTTGTTTTAGGAACATTTCAGACGTTAAATTCAATTGAATTGAAATATGTCGTTTCATGCAAATATGACAAAAATACGCCCAAAGAAAGTATTGACAATATACAGTTGGAAAAAAGGAAGTGAATGGCTCAGCTCTAACTGTTTTTATAAAACAAAAATCAAAGGTAAATCATTTGTTTCTTATTTTACAATGTGTCTGCTAGATTTTATTAAAGAAGAATTACGCGTAAGTTTTTATTTGAATTTCTCTGAAATTGATTTTGTCGCTTTGTTTAGATATGTTCCAGAGGCTCTTGTGACATTGCTACGATCATTTGTGGTTCTTTCGGTTTGGCTTTTAATTTTCTTATTATTTTATTCGTAAGTTTTCTTATCTCCAGAATCTTATTTATTGATTATATCTATTCTATTGAATTTTTTAGGTAATTCTCAAAATAACATGTTGTCCCGAAGATAATCACTTCATATTTTCTGCTCTGTATGCGTATACGATTGGTTTTGCCGTTTTTGCGGGTTTTATGACTATACCTACGGTTTTTCATGGATTGGTGATGTGAAAAAGTTAGCAGAATGTTTCCCTGGTTTAACATATTTTGCATTGGCATCGTATTCTATCATATGTTTTTGTGCTTTTGTTTTTATTTTGCTATGGTGCAGTTGTTTATTACAGATATCGATGCAGAGAAGAACCAGATGAACAGACGTATTATGGTGTATCCCAAAATAATTATCCTTTACCTGATTTTCCTGTTTCAATTGTCTATAATAATCAGAGACAAACAACACAAGAGATTTGCGTAACTTGAGGATATACGTGAGAGTTTGTAAAAAAAAGAAATAGTTTTTTTTCTTGTATGATCATCAGTTTTATTTATTAGTAAAGACTAAAAAAGCATGTTTTTCAAAAGCATTCTAAAAATTCTAGTATAATATGTTTATTGGATAGTTGCCATTTGCGCAGTTAAGCGCATTCGCAGATGACATCTCTCGCCAATCCCGACTTGACCATTCGCGCGAATTCTGAGAAATTAATCTTTCCAGACCCATCTGTGTCAGCCAGAAAAATACAAAGATCAACACGATACTGAAATAAACAATAGTTAGAGACAAATAAACTCGAATAGAAATTACTTCATCGGTAAGAATTGATAAGAATGCTCGTAATTCATCGGGCGAGATGAGACCGTCGGATAGATTGATTGTTCGATTATACAGACCTCTTCTACCTTGATCGAGAATATCGAAGGCACGTGAAATGTCAGATTCCCGTTCCTGATTGTTTCCGAGCATAAATACTCGTAAAACTTGTAAGAAATCATTCCATGGCAATTTTGGAACTGATGAAGAAACACTGACTGCAATAGAATCAATTAATAGAAAATGATACACTATTAATATAGATTATCCTAACCATTATTGTATTCTTGCTCGGTGATTGTACGAGAATGAAGAACAAGGCCATCTTCGATCAATTCAACAGTAACACTTGTCGCATAACCATCCGTTAGTTGCGTCGTATATTTAGCAGTTCGAGCCGACCATTGGGATGATGCAGGAAACACGAAGTTTGCTATTTGTTTAATGCAATTTAACAAATAGAATTGATCAGACTGGACTTACTTGGTCTTACGAATGCACGATCAAGTTTCATACCAGAAACATCTAATATTTTTTTCGAAACAAACAAATGAGACAACTCATTACTATATATAATGAAAATGATACACTTACAATCACCTGGAAGCAGACCATATTGAGCGAAACTAAATAATCCACGTCTTCGAGTAGAGCTGCTGCTGCTGCTTATGTATCGCTTATCTATTTCAATATCAGAAGATGAAACTCAGTGAAAGTCTGAAAATTTTGACTGCAAAACTATAATTCGTTTCATATTTAGGAATATGAACTTTTTAAAGTTTCTCTTTGTGAATAATCAGATGATTAGAACTAAAAAAACATTTATGTGTGTAATTAAATTTGTGGGATCTGATCGCGTTTAGTCATTGCTGGAAAAAAAGGTACTTTTGCTCGTTTTTCTCTGCCCGTAAATCCTTAGATAAAGAATATCATCTCACCTTCCACGTATCTGTTTCCACTTGAAAATTCATAATTGATAGCACCTTCGCGTGTATTTGAATATGTTAATGCCGGGAGTGACTATAATGACTCATATTTATTAAATGTACTTAGCAATTAGTTGAAAAAAAGAATTTACCAGATCTTCAAAAACACCAGCATTACGAGCCATTTGAACAAGTGTTGATGAATCTAAAAGTGTTCCTCCATAGCGGGCTACATAATGCGCCGGATCTTCTCTGATTACGCCATCTTTTTCGAATTGTCGAACAACGCGCGCTTCAACACCTTCATAGACAATAATTTTATTACGCGGCTCTGGATATGTAAGAGTGTTTTGAACTCTTTCAACAATTGTACGACGTTCAGGTTGAGGTCCATATGGAAGCCATCGTTCAATGATGATATCACCTAAATAGTCACAAAATAACGATCGATTAGAAGAGAAAAAAACTATAAATAAATGTTTTTACGTGGTCTCTCCGGTGCAGGTGGAAAACGTTCAATAATAACTGATCTCGGTGGAGGAGGCGGAGCAGGTACTTGACGAATAACTATAAAATAAAGCATATTGATGAATGTCATATATGTACTTGAAATCGGTTTTCGTATCACTTGTTTCACTAGGAATAACTGGTGGTGGTGTTGGTGGTCGCTCGCGTAAGATAAGTGGAGGTGGTGCAGCAGCAGCTTGCATGTGTTGTCGAACAACAAGCGGTGGAAGTGGTGCCGGTTGTGGTGCCTGGACTTCTTTAATGATAAGTGGCTAAAATATCATATAAAAATGAATAAAATTCAATTTGAAAAATATTTCTTTGATTACTCCTGGTGGTCGAACACTTGGTGGACGAAGATATCGAACAAGAACTCGTTGTTCATATGTCACCGGTCGATCGACTAATGTTTTTCGAATAACTAATGGATTAGGATCCTTATAGACGTCAACTGCTCTTTCAAGGTAACTGTTTGTTTCTTCCAAACTGTGTGTTTCAATCGTTGCTTCGTTCATTAAACCACCTGCCACTGTTACAGTTTCACGTGTAGTATATCGATTACGACCCAATCGTTTAATATCGTAATCAGTACTATAAACAGTACTTTCCGATACTTCATATTTACGATGATCGGATCGACGATCATCACTATTGTGAAGATATACGCCACTCGTCAATGTTTCATATGTCGACGAAGATTTTTCTGCATTATTTGCAATCCAATTTTGAAATTCAGTTTTATCGATTCTAAATAAACATGTGTACATGTACTTAATATTGTGACAAAAATAGTTTGATTCTTACTTTCCATCTCGGTTGGCATCAATATCTTCAAATGAAGTATCCGTTTCAATAATTTCAGGCATTTTACCGAATCGACAACGTAGAAACAAATTCTCAAAATAAAGGAAATCAATAATGATTAGTTCATATATCTTTTCTCCAAAAGAAGGTTGTAGGATGAATATGAATACATTGACTTGACGAAGTCTTAATATTAAATGAATATATGATCAATGAGTTCTGTTTGATGATATAGGTATTAGGAATGCACTCTTTCTGATTAGATTGTATCTCAACTATAACATCTGTACCTATACAGTTCATTTGTGATGCATTCCATGTATAACCTACTCTTCTTAAGCATACTCACTCGTTGATCGATGATTCATCAAAGAGTAAGAAAAGGACAGTGATATAGAGGAAGAATAGTAATGGGGGAGTTTCTGATGTTGATTTGAAAAGTATTGAAAAAAAAGTAATACGCGAAATAGTAACGGTTACAAATGTTCCCCTCGAATTTCTGTCATAGTATAACTTTTCGTCCTTGGACTCAATCAGGAGCAAAATAATTATGAAGATGAAAAGAAATAACATGGTTAGTCAAGCTACTAAAGAAAGTAGAACACGACGCTGATTTAAAATGATTTGATAGATCTGAAAATTGTTGAATACTTGTGAGCTTCCGTAAATCTTATACTTTCTTGGTATTATACAAGTTAATATCTACGTCTGCGATTACGTATCGAATCAAATCTCAGTGTAAACCATCATACAGTATGATCTAACAAGATCTTCCTTTTGATTTTATTTAATCTCACAATATCAGACAGAAAATTCAAACTGAACTATGGCGAACGAACATAATTATTTTGAGATACTTAACTCAAATCAAAGAAACTGGAATAATGGAAAGAGAATTCTACAAGTAACCGACGGCGAGCTTATCGTCATTCTAAACTATGCATAAACCTTGAAATATTTTAGATATTCCATAAGCAGAAACTAAATGTATAATGTCAGTTCATATCGGAATGATTGTCGAACAATAGGCGATACAGACCTGTGACTGTTACCATTTTCTTGAGCACGCATTTCTCCATCTATCTATGTGTGATAGTTAGAAAAGTTCGAAATCTCGAGTAATTGATGTAAAAAGTTTTAATTCCGTCTTTCTTAATTCTCATAGATATCTACCTGCACAATGTATCCAAAAGATAGTCTGGATATTCTTTTGAAATCTGCATAAGGTTTGCCGTGTTAATTCAGTTTCTTGACGAATTATAGAAATTCTATCAAAAGCTTAAATTGGGATCAGTTGATCTTGTATTACTTCAAAATCGACCTAAGTTTGAGGTTCCAATGAAATGTGTTAACACAGTAAACTGCGCATAGATTTCAAAAGAACGTCTTGAGTTGACTATCTTTTGAATGTGCCATACACGTAAAGGTTCGTCAGGATTAAGCGGAGAGCAAATACAGTTTTCAACAACCATATACAACGAAATAACTTCAACTGGCTCCTCTTATATACGCAGATCTGACAGTAGTGTTTTATCCCACTTTTTCTTCATAAAAAGATACCTTTTCTTTTAAAGGATGTCAATAGAATTTTTTCCCGCAATTGTAAAGTATCTGAATTCATAAATACCATTGATAATGTGATGTGAGACCATATAACCACAAAGTAATAAATGTTTTGTTGTGAGACTTATTGTATATTCCTTTCACGTTATCTTGAGAGAGTGAGTATTGGTAATAACTACCGGGATTACAATCTTTTCGTGATAAAAGAACTTTCGAGTTTCAAACCTGAAAAATCCTAAAGAAATCTCGTGAGATTAATTCAGAATCTTTTCAAGTTTGACCGAGAATCTCTTTGCAATTTCTTTTTTTTCTTCTTTGCTACATAATCCGACCGATCTTAACCTGAGAGTGCGTGAAGATGAAGATACAAAGGTTCGTCAGTACTGCCGGCGTTATCGTTAGAGCACTCGGAAGAATGAATAGTTATTCCTTGTTAGAATTTTTATCAATTAAGCATGAAAAGGTTACAGACACTTGATTTTAGGTTATGTATTAATATTTGCACTAGAACAAGTCAGCTTATATCTGTCAATTCAATTGTACATAATATCTGGATGTGATATTTAATTTGCGGTGAAATTCGTGAGTTAGTGCCAGAATGTTAGAGATAGACTAACCTAAGAGAATTCGAATTAGAAGTTTCAAATCCAACGTACTAGTTATAGATCATTACCGTGTATTAAATAAATGCGAGAGCTTCAGATTTCGTCTGAAAGTTGGGTGTATTACAAAAATGTATCAGGTTGAAGACATAAGAAGTCCCAAAGAAATATCAATTCTAATTTTATCGCCCGTCCAATTAGTCTCATCTTCAAATTCCATCGGAATTTTGATGTTAGCATGTGTCATTGAAACTTTGATATTCACATTAGTCTTTAAAGGATTCTCAGATAAATGAACAGATGTAGGACGCGCACTGGTAGATTCCAATGATGTGCTCAGCTTTTCAGTGTAGTACAACAGCAAGATCTTTCAAGTCTGTTCGCAGTAGCACGTTGTTGGTACGAGGGGTGTGGAGTGGGTGAAGGCGATCAAGGCAAAAATTTCTCCAGTCGACTCCATAATAGAAGACGCCGCGATGAGAATCTGGGTGTATCTCACCCAAGTTACCTGTTTGATAATTATGAGTTTCTGTTGTCGCCACGGCCATTAAACTTTCCATCACACGTTTATATTTAGTGAAAACTCATAATGAAGTCAGACCATGAGGATGAATGTTAGACAATGGACTCGGGTGATATTCACCCAAATCATGTTCGTGTCCGTTAGCGCTAAGGAAGCCATTTGGGATGGGTATGCGTTTACGTTAGTTTCAAATAAACGTAAATGCTCGCCCCTACGTTGAACAGTATATATGTATATATAAATAATTGAGTTCAATCAAAACAGGGATAAATGCTAAAACAACGATATAGAAGTACATTTTTTACTGAATAGCCAGCTTTTGATTCGAATGTCAATACTATGTCAAATCGATCAGCTATATCCTCATCTTCAAAATGAATTCGATTTGATAAAATTTTACATGTTCGTTGCTACTAAAGCGTATGGAACAAATATTTGATAATATTATTTATCATGGCGATGATAACAGGAATATGTATTATAAAACGAAGATCTTTTTTTGTAAAGTATCTTTCTTTTCTAATTACAAACAAAAAACCACATTCGATCGTCGACGAACGCATGTTGAGAGTGTGTCTCGCAATAGTTCACTGATCCAGAAAATCAATCTCTAGAATGACTGGATTTGATTCCCACTTCAGACTGTATTTTACGACGGTTTGTTATTCGAAAGAAAGAGAAAGAGAAAAGCTTTTACAAAAAAAATCTTCGTTGTTATTTATCATGTGTTATAAAACTTTTATTTCATAAACTGTTGAATACAACTTTGATACACGACAAAAAAAAGTCATTTTGTAACTTTCCTCGTCATACGTTACAAAGCACTTAAGAAAAATAAATCAAAATTAACTATGATGCCATTGTTACCCAAACAACAACGTTTGAAACAAACACACATAATAAAACAAAAGCAAAAGCTAAATAATTCAAAATACTACATTTGCCTTCGATATCTTTTTTATTTTTTCCTTTCCCTTTATCTTTATCAAAATCTTCTTGACAAGGTTCACATCGATCGCAGAAGTTACATTTTGGATCCGCTTTTTCTTTATTTACCTTTACATCGTCAGATTTTCCTATTTCATCTGGCGTTATATCGTTTTTAGTAGATTTTCCATCATTGCCAGACTTCTCTTGTGCTTTATCGATATTTTCGACTTTCACACGTTTTCGAAGACATACAGAAAAGAGTTTTCGACACGAAACACATCGATTTGGTGTTTTGTTCATTTTTTCTGCATCGTTCGAATCCTTCAATTCACCATCTCCCATTTGACTTACTTCTTTTTTATCATTTAAATCGATTTCTTTTGATTTTGAAAAGCAATTCGCAGACCTTCTTTGTAATAATCCCGAGAAATCAAAAAGTAACTTTGGTAATTGGGCTTTTGATATAAAATGATTACAAACAATGAACCATAACATTGATATTAATGTCCAACACATTGATAAGATGAAATATAAAGTTATCATCATTAAATATTGTGATTGTTGTGGAAATATATTTGCAAAAGTAAGTGAATTCACTGAATACGTCATAAAACAAGTCATGCCTAAAATATCAAAATAAGATCAATTCAAAGGATTCTTTTCTATGAAAACATATTTGTGTCAAAACTAACAAATGTATTCTCATTAAAATAAAATTCAAATTCAAATAACTTTTCAGATTTCATCAGAATATATTTCCTTTTCGATCATTGGTTCTCATATGACTATGAATCAAAAACAAGAAAATACTCTTACATAGACCAATTTGTGAACCAAATGGTAACGCAAATGCCAATAGAGTAACACAATTTAAGATTAAGCAGGTAAATATTCCGTTCATTATATAATATAATGGTTTTCTCTGTAAAAACAATTGGATCGATATAACATCATTATAAGTGTCTTCAAAAAGCGATCTATCTGATGTTCTTATCACATCCATTGAAACACTTTTTAATTTCCATAAAGGATGTTCAATATAATTACTAATATCAATAAGTGTACTGGCATTTTCAGTATAAACAAGTCGATTCGCTCCTTGACTCCATGATGTTAAATTGATGCTACATATTTGATTATCAAACGGAAATTTTTGAATGAACAAACTACAGCGTGTTTTCGACGCTAACGCTGGTAATATCATATAAACATCACCTGTATAATCAACCGAAGCTAAACTATAAGTATTGATTGACAAATAACCACTGGAATCTGCTGAATTTAATATCATTGTATCAGGTAACCACAACTTTTGCGCTGGTATCATAACAACAGTAATATTACCATTAGCACTTGGTGTCCATGTTAATCGAGTATCAAGCCATGATTGAGAAATAAATGAACTTGATGTCATAATCTGTTGTTTTTCATCGATTGAAACTATTTGTTGTATTGAAGCTGTAATATCAACGTACACTTGAGTATCTGGCCGAATATTGTTATTGTATCCAGTCAATAAATTTGCTATTAATGTTTGTTCAGATACTTGGGTAGATGGAAATGCTCCACAATCAGAAAGATAAAGCAAATAGCAAAAGAAGAGAAGACAATTCTGTATTCTCATCGTGAACAGTCTCTTCTTTCTGAACTGGATCGTATTTTCACTGACGAAATATACGTGAAACGTACAGAATGCGTCTTTTTATTTATGTAGAAAAGAAAGGAAAAGAGATGTCGTGTCCGATAAAATTTAAAAAAAAAACAAGTATGTTGCGAATATGATTTGTTATTCGATTATTCATCAAACTTCCTTCGTACAAATATGTCTTGATTTTTACATAAAATGATACCCTAAAAGTTATTCGTTGAAAGATTATATTTTCAGTGAATGTAGATCATTAAAGTCATAGTAGACGAAAATAACTTCATGTTTATTCGGTATGATCGACAGAGCACCTTGTTTACCTACTCAATCTGTACAAATATCTCGAAGTCATGAACTTCATCGGCAAATAAGATGAAACATGTGAATATTTTTCTTTCATGATCAAATTCTACGATATCGAGTTGGTTCAATCTTCGTCCCAATGACAATGATGTGTTCATATTTCAAGTCAGTATGAATTGAATAGTCTTGCCCTATGTCATTAGCAAACTCAATAAGTAAAGACAAATGAAACTTCAATGTTCCTTGACTTTTTCAGACATCCAACATCTATGTCGGTTGTTGATGCGATGTAGTTATGATGAAAACAAAAACAAAACTTCTTTGGTACGAATTGCAAAGAATCCATATACGGGAATTGATCATCTCGCCAGGAGAAAAGTACATCGATGTCGTACAATTTCATGAAATATTGTTACTGTGTTTCGGATATTTTAATAGCAGAGAACAATCATGTAATGTTATTTGTGAAAATGTTCGTTGTCGTCGTCAACACAGAATCACTTTTTGAAGGCGAGAGGGTAAATGTATTACTGAATTATAACTTTCAACAATTTCAATGACTTGTGAGTGTGAACATTTAGTGACAGAAGAGAAAAATCGATTTTTTTTTTGTTTGTCCAAAGATCATTGATGATTTCTTACGGATAAATTATGATACATTGACAATTTATAACCAAGTATGAAAACTGAGCATTTTAAACAAAAAGAATTTCAGAACTTTACACCGAAAGATTTGTTAAAATAGGAACAAACGCTTTTGATGTCATGTTATCGCTCAAGAATTAGAATCTCGCTTGATCTCAGTTGTGCAAAAATCATTAAAAAAGATTAAGCTCAATGAACTACACGGTGTAGATTTAGACGATAATGTCTTTCATATTCATTTCAACAAGACACAATTCTGGAGAATTCATCGATTCAGTATCGACAAGAGTAGTTATATTCTTATAAAGGTACGATTAATAGAAAAATCAATTCTCAATGAAATATATGACTACTATACTTTTGGTTTCTTTTCGGCTGTTGTTGTTCCATGTTCGGAGTTGCTCATTTAATTGAACAAATCTTAGAATTGAATAATCATCATTCAATGAAAATAAAGCTCGAACGAATGATAACATCAAGATTTACACTGAAAACAAAGTTTTGTTTTCATTGTTGATCTACATCAATTTGCGACAGAAATAAAAGAAATTGCAAATGATCTCATCGGCTAAAGTTTAATCTTTTCACAAATATTATTGAGATACTACGTGAAAACAAATTTCTTTTCTTTTGTATCACGATGAAGAAATTCAAGGTCTCCTTACTTTTTCTTCTTTCGATCATAATTTCCATTGAAAATCATCAAATGAATGGTTTGTCGACAATTTTGATTTTGATAATTTGTAAAATACAAAGAAAAAAAAACATTTTTTGAACTTATAGGTTGGCCAACGAATGAATTAGGAAGAAATCCAACAAATTGGACTGGAATTTGGTATGGAATCATCGAAACTTTTCCCAAAAATGAACTCGGATCAGGTTGGAATGTGAAATTAGAAATTGGAAATTATCCAATGAAAGATTTCACTTGTACAATTTGGAAAAGTATTTTCACAGAAAACGATTCCATTAAAACTATCAAAGATTATCAACTTTGTCGTGGAAATCATTTGAATGATTTGTATATCGATGAAGGAAATAATGTTACAATCAAAATACAATGGATCAATAAAATGTTCATATCTTCATTTAAATATAAAGGTGTTTTGGCCATTTCAACAATGAAAATGTTTGAGAATATTCTTGAAGAAGATATTTTAATTATTGATGATTATCCTGCGGATGAAAATCATGTTACATCTCTTCGAATACAAAGTATTCATCGAATGAAGATGAAACGAATGTTCAATTGACATTTCATCTGCGCGTTTTCAATACAAAGAAATCCCTCCATTCACTTTTTGTATGATCAACGAAAAGATTCGCTCTTTTTTTCTCATTTATTTCCTTTTTGATATGAAATCATCAATGAGAAGATTGTCGTACAGGGAAAAAACACGAAGAAAATGTTCTTAACGAGTATATATTCACATTTTTCGACGCGATCGATAAGTAAAAATGATTTAAACAGCTAAAGAACAAGATTACTTGACCGGGTGACGATTTTTAATGGAAGAGAGATGTGTGCTGATGGAACTACGTGTTTATTTATTTCTTCCTTTTGATACAAAACGTTTCGTTCATAGAATAGAAGAGAATGAAAGAAAATTTCATCTGAAGATATGTCGAAGAAAAGAATATCAATCGGATAATTCAATAGGAGAGAAAAATTGAAAGGACAAAGAAGATGTGTACAGCGTGTGAGAACGGAAATGCCACATTCTGTACATTGATCAGATATTTTTCAAGATTCATTAATGAAGATTATTCAGAGAAAAGCTTAAGATTCTAAGTAAAACACAAATAAATCTTTTTTAAAGATTTTGACTAAACGATTGAAAGTCGAATAAGAAAAACACAAAGAAGAAAATTTTCCAAATTTTTTCTGATAATGAAATGATCGAGAAATGTGTCGAATAGAAAATAGTTTTTAGTAAAAATAATGAATCTCCATATTATAATCGCTTAGCGAATTATACAGCTGATAATTCTTCTAATGAATATATGAAAAATGTTTTACGATCTACTCTATGATTTTAACAATGAAATTTTTGCTAATCGAAGAATTCTTTCAGACTTTCTTATGTCTTTGAAGATATCTGAAGGCATTTGAATTTTAAAAAAAAATCTCGTGAAAAAATACCTTTGTAAATATCGAATTATGGATTAATGAGAAGACTAATGAAGATCATCATTTCACTAGTCTTTATTCGTGTCAAAGTGTTTTGACTACGAGGTTTAATGGAAAAAGACGTAATTTGTTAAATCTCAAGAGAAATTATTGAATAAGAATTATATGTTCTTCTTTTTATTTCAAAATGTTAATCAATATGAAAATGGTGAACGTATTTTAATGCGAATCTTCTTTGCTAAACCAACTTATGAAAAAACTTTCCATGATCATCATTAAGATTAAAAAAACAATTTTCTTATTAACGATATGGTTTTTTTTGAAGAATTCAAATTCCACACATCTGTTTTTGTTGTTGATCTTCTTTTTATTAATCGAATGATAATAACTTTCAGTTCAAAACAAAACATCAATATTGACGTGATTTATCCATTTTGTAAGGAAACATTTGGTTTTCTGTCGTTTTTATGCATTAGACTTTGTTATCAAATATTTTTATGTTTAAATTTCAATAAAAATGACAAACTTTTTTCATCGAACTAGAAGAGTTTCTTATTGAAAATGAAGAGTATTATCTGTTTGATCGAGTTAATTACTGAAAAACATTTTTCATTTTCCTAAACAAAATATTTCAAAAGACTCATTAAGAATTGAAATCTTGAGAAGATTTCCAAAAATATTTTCTTTTCTTTGATAATTTATTGTGAATCTCTAAAATAATGATGAGTTTTGATGGTTGAGAATGTCTTCAAATCTTTATTCATGTTTATTTAACTGTGATATGATAAATAATGATGACTAAAAATAATGTTTGTTACCGACTAAACAACAAATATTGTCATTGAAAGATGTTGAAGACAAATTTACAAGAGACGAGATGTTTTGCTTGTTCTTATCAACAGACGATTTGTTTTCTTGATGATTCTCATGAAATTTAATCTAAAACATAGTTTTTTCAATTTCTTTTCGAAACATTCTCATAGATCATTGATATTCATAATACAATTGAATTAGAAAGAATAAAATGTTTATTTTGATTGAACAAAAAAGAGCTTCATTTGTGTTTTTAATTAATCTGTGAAATAAATCAAAAAAGAGCTGTTTTTCGTTGAAGAATATGAAATTTAACGCATTTTGGTATAATAAATAATGACAAAGATATTAAGACCAATTCCAGCTAAAGTGCTGATTGCGTTTAAAATAGCTGTTGCTGTTGACATTCGTTTCACAGTTTGATAATCCCCTGTTTTCTTCTTTTCACTAATTACACATGAAAGTATAATTGTAACAACTCCCAAAGGCCATAAACAACAAAGACAATTGAAAATCGACCAAGCCAAATAATCATTAACACTTGCCATTTCAGCCGAGTGATTTGCTATTCCAATTGGCATTGGTTGTTGCGTACGAACTCCTTGGGGAAATAAAAGTGGAGGAGGTGATGAAACATTTGTTTTAATATCTGTATAAGGTGGTGGTGAACTTGTATTTTGAACTCCAAGAACCATTGGATTTACAAAACTTGATGGAAATACAGGTGCGACTTGAACTGGAGTAACTGTGACTGCATTTGCAGCATCTTCTTCTTGTTTTGTTACGATGTTATTTGTTTCATCCATTGTTTCAGTTGAAATCTCTAAAAATAAATAGTTTTTTAAATATAAAAACAACTATTCAAAACTTTAAAATCTTTCAAATGACAAAACATTTCGTTTAAGAAATAAAGAAAAGATATGAAAGTAAATAACGTCATTTTTGATGTCATAAATAAATAATGATAAGAAGAATTCTCTTCAATGTCGATGACTATTTCACTTCTCACGTTACTCTTTGTATTTTATCAACACATTTTTATCTGTGAGATGTCTTCAACTTAAAAAATGATTATTTTCGAATAAGATTTTCGGAGAGAATTAATTACCATTGTTTGATATTCATTGTTAAAAATATAAAATCCATCATGATGGAGAAAAGGGTGGACGGACAAAATATTGTCGGTGGGGTGATTATTTATCTAATGTATTTCCTACTGGAGCTTTTTATTTTTTTTTCATTTGATTTCTTTCGAATTTAACAAAAAAGGGTTTCAATGATATAATTGCTTACAAATGCTCAGACTGTGGTAAATTCTCGTTGAATTGAACGCAAAGACATTCATTATGCTGGTCAATCATATTTATCTTGTTGACCAATCAGGATGAATCGCACTAACACAGTCAATATAACGAAATAATCTTGATATTCTAGATTTCCTTTACGATTATCAATACTAACACTTTTTCTCTTCTATAACAATGTAATTCTAATATTCAAGAAATTTTTTATGTCAAAACATAGTTCTTATGATTCAGTTTATTGAAGTTCACTCTAAATATTGAAAATCAATTCTTTTTGTTTATTTTCATTTATCGAATTTATCGAGCGCCGAACAAAGTATCGCAACATTTGACGAGTCAATATTTGTTTGACTTCAGTCCAATTATGATCGTCAATGTTACTGGGGATGATCGACTGTTCAGACAAACAAACAATGTACACATACTTTGTTGTCAGCAATTCGACTTTTCCCAATGTACCATTTTAGGTATCGAACATTGATTTTCAAGTCCTGGATTTTAGAGTAAATGTGAATCCTCAGTGTTATAAATCAAGTAGACGGATTTGAATCGGTGCTGTATGTAAAATCGTTCATCAAATTGGTCACACCAATGATTCACGAAAAACTATTTTCACTTGTCGTACTCGAAAATTAAGCGAGTCGAGAAGACGAACACTACTAGTAGTTATAAAGGATTTCGCATAGTCTTGGTGTTTTTACATGCCGATCATGGTGATATTTAATTATCATACTACAATGATAAAGATCGTTAACTTCATGCTTTCATTTTTCGAAAGCAATGATTCAGCCGCAGTGTCTCTCATTAAGTATTATTAGTATCATTGTCTAGTTTGATTTAATAATCTATTTTATCCTTGAAGTGAAAGTAAACAGAACATGGAAAATTAGATTTGTATCAGAATTTCAACAATTTAATAAAAGAATTCATTGCACTAAAATTCTTGATGTCGAGATTCAATTGAAATGAGCTTCTCTTATATAGGCTATGCTTTTTCTATAATGACAGAGAGATCATATAATTTATGAATATGTTTCCAAGAAAAATGATTCAAAGCAAAAATTGATTTCTTTTAAACCATTCTTTTCTTCATATGAACTTGTTTGCGATGATCGAATAGAGAAGAAATTATTCGAAATAAATATTCTTGTTGGTCAAATCAACATTTATGATGATCATATTTATCGTAGTTGAAGATTAAAATATTTCGATAAAACTTCAAAAAAAGGAAAAGATCAATGAAATCAGATTAGAAGTCCAGAAAATGCAGAATTTCCAAATGACATTGGATCGTCCATACCAATGTATGATTTGCACCAATATTGTTGAAACCATTAGTCATAAGTAGATTATAATCAACTCCAGTAGAATGTGGAGAAACACGAGGTCGATTCGAATTAGAAGGAATTTCTCTTGTTGGTACATCTTGAGAATAATTTCAACTAGTTGATAGATTGTCCATTGATATAACCATTGGAATTTGCACATCCATGATGAATGACTCGTTCTTGTATTGGATATGAATCACGATAATGAGATGACATTGCTTTCACTTTCTAATTGATTTTCTTTAATGAAAATCAGATGAGATTTTATAGAAAAATATTTCTCAATGATTTGTTACAGTTAATTTCAAGAAAAAGAAAAGAAAAGAAGAAAAAGTGTCATCATCATCATCATCGACTCATCCGTTTATTTTCATTGAAGAAACGATCCACAATGTTAGTAATCTAATCGAAGGAAGTGATCAATTACTTCTATTTTCATGAATATTTTATCAAGAATCAAATTCGTTTGTTGACGCGTTTTATGAATCCTTCTGTTTGACACTGAAGATGAGAAAAAGATCTTGAAAGATGCGAATTGTTTTGTTCGATTGAATTTCATCACGAGTTGATGTTATCTTCGAAACTCTTTTGAAAAATATTTAATCAGAAACTTGATTTTCAATCTTCTTTTTCTTTTAAATAAATATTTTTCCAAAGAGATCAATTCGTATAAAAAGGCAAAATAAGAAAAGTAAAATCAATCATTTCTAATGAATTCCGATATTTTCAATCATTTGAAAGATTCATTAACAAAAACGACTAATCCTGAAAATCAAATGTATTTAATAACTCGAACAATTGGTAATGTTGGAACAATTTCTCGAACACAAATAGCTGATTTAATGAAATATCTTCCATCAGATTATTATAAACTTCAATTATCCAAAATGGCTTATGGTTATGTTAATGATTTTCATTCTTATGATCATATCGTTGGAGATTCATTTTCATTTCATCATACAAAAGATTATTTAAACGAATATGTTCATCGATATTGATTTCTTTTCTTTTTTCAAATAAAAAAATCAATTTCGTTTTTTTCTCAACATTTTTCTCTTCATGAAAATCTTCTTAGTCCAAATTTCAACTAAAGTACCATTGAGACAAGATCAAATCATTTCACTAAACTTTCCAAAATGCATATGAAAGATAAAGATGAAATTCGATGTACTTAGAGCACGTCTCATTGATCACAGTTATGTTTTATGTTAAAAAGAAAAAGGAAAAAGCAAAGGTGAATAAAAAAAGCACGTTTTGCTTTCGGATAAACTTGATGAATTTTCTCATAAAATTCTTCTGTTGGAGCATCAACAGTTGATCCATAACCTTTCATTAATTCTTTAAAATCAATTTCATGTCCCTGAAATGCACGAAGAAATTGTAANAAAATTCAATTTGAAAAAATATTTCTTTGATTACTCCTGGTGGTCGAACACTTGGTGGACGAAGATATCGAACAAGAACTCGTTGTTCATATGTCACCGGTCGATCGACTAATGTTTTTCGAATAACTAATGGATTAGGATCCTTATAGACGTCAACTGCTCTTTCAAGATAACTGTTTGTTTCTTCCAAACTATGTGTTTCAATCGTTGATTCGTTCGTTAAACCACTTGCTACTGCTATAGTTTCACGTGTAGTATATCGATTACGTCCCAATCGTTTAATATCATAATCAGTACTATAAATAGTACTTTCCGATACTTCATATTTACGATGATCGGATCGACGATCATCACTATTGTGAAGATACACACCACTCGTCAATGTTTCATATGTCGATGAAGATTTTTCTGCATTATTTGCAATCCAATTTTGAAATTCATTTTTATCGATTCTAAATAAACATGTGTACACCAACTTAATATTGTAACAAAAATATTTTCATTCTTACTTTCCATCTCGGTTGGTATCAATATCATCAAATGAAGTATCCGTTTCGATAATTTCAGGCATTTTACCAAATCGACAGCGCACAAACAAATTCTCAAAATAAAGGAAATTAATAATGATTAGATCATATGTCTTTTCTTCAAAAGAAGGTTGAAGAATGAATATGAATACATTGACTTAACGAAGTCTTAATATTAAGTGAATACATGATCAATGTTACATTTCATGTAACCTAATCTTCTTAAGCACTCACTCGTTGATTTATCAAAGAATAAGAAAAGAACAGTGATATAGAGGAAGAATAGTGATGAGGAATTTCTGATGTTGATTTGAAGAGTATTGAAAAAAAAAAGATTTATACACAAAAACATCTTGTGTTATACAAGGTAATATCTACGTTTGCAATTACGTATAGAATTACATCTCAGAATAAACAATCATACAGTATGGTCTAACAAGATCTTTCTTTTGATTTTATTTAATCTCACAATATCAGATGGAAAATTCAAACTAAACTATACCGAACAAAGATAATTATTTTGACACATTTAACTCAATTCAAAGAAACTGAAATAATAGGAAGAATTCTAAAAGTAACCGATGGCGAGTTTATCGTCATTCTAAAGTATGTATAAACCTTTAAATGTTTTTAGATACTCCATAAGCAGAAACTAAATGTATATTGTCAGTTCATTTTTGAAATGATTGCCGAACAATAGACGATACAGACCTGTGATTGTTACCATTTTCTTGAGCACGCATTTCTTCATCTATCTATGTGTGATGATTAGAAAAGTTCGAAATCTCGAGTAATTGATGTAAAAAGTTTCAATTCTCTCTTTCTTAATTCTCATAGATATCTACCTGCACAATGTATCCAAAAGATAGTTTAGATATTCTTTTGAAATCTGCATAAGATTTGCCGTGTTGATTCAGTTTCTTGACGAATTATAGAAATTCTATCAAAAGCTTAAATTGGGATTAGTTGATCTTGTATTACTTCAAAATCAACCTAAATTTGATGTTCCCATGAATTGTGTTAACACAGTAAACTGCACGTAGATTTCAAAAGAACACCTTGAATTGACTATCTTTTGGATGTGTCATACACGTAAAGGTTCGTCAAAATTAAGCGACGAGCAAATACAGGTTTTAACAATCTTATACTACGAAATAACTTCAACTGATTCCTTTTATATACACAGATCTGGCAGTAGTGTTTTATCCCACTTTTTCTTCATAAAAAATATCTTTTCTTGCAAAGAATGTCAATATAATTTTTTTCCCGCAATTGTAAAGTATCTGAATTCATAAATACCATTGATAATGTGATGTGAGACCATATAACCACAAAGTTATAAATGTTTTGTTGTGAGACTCATTGTATATTCTTTTTACGTTATCTTGAGAGGATGGGTATTAGTAATAACTACTGTGATTACAATCTTTTCGTTATAAAAGAACTTTCGAGTTTCAAGTCTGAAAAATCCTAAAGAAATTTCGTGAGATTTACTCCAAATCTCTTTGCAATTTATTGTGTTTTCTTTGCTACATAATCCGACAGATTTTAACTTGAGGGTGCGTGAGGCTGATGATACAAAAGTTCGTCAGTACCGCCGACGTTATCGTTAGACCGCTCGGAGGAATGAATAGCTATTCTCGGCAAGAATTTTATAAATTAAGCATGAAAACGTTACAGACACTTGATTTTAGGTTATGTAGAGTATTTTGCTAGTACTTTGTATTGATATTTGCATTAGAACAAGTCAGCTTGTATCTGTCAATTCAATTGTACATGACATCTGAATGTGATATTTTATTTTATGGTGAAATTTGTGAGTTAGTGCCAAAACGTTAGATATAGACTACCCTCAGAGAATTCGAATCACAATTTCAAAATCCAACAATGACGCTTTGATTTTCACTCCAACGTACGAGTTATAGATCATTATCGGGTATTGAATAAATGCGAGAGCTTCGGATTTCGTCTGAAAGTTGAGTATATTGCAAAAGTGTATCAGGTTGAAGACATAAGAAGTCCCAAAGAAATATCAATTCTACTTTTAAGAATCCAAGAAGCATTCGTTCAATCAGTCTGATCTTGAGGGTGTGGAGTGGGTGAAGGTGATCAAGGCAAAAATTTCTTCAGTCGACTCCGTAAAAGATGACGCCGCGATGAGGATCTGGGTGCATCTCACCCAAGTTATCTTTCTGATAATTATGAGTCTCTGTTGTCGCCACGGTCATTAAACTTTGCACCACACGTTTAGATTTAGTGAAAACGCATAATGAAGTCAGATCATGAGGATGAATATTAAGTAATGGGCTTAGGGGAAATTCACCCAAATCATGTTCGTGTCCGTTAGCGCTAAGAAAGCCATTTGAGATGGGTATGTATTTACGTTAGTTTCAAATCAACGTAAATTCTCGCTCCTACGTTGAACAGTATATATATAAATAATTGAGTTCAATCAAAACAGGGGATAAATGCTAAAACAACGATATATAAGTACAGTTTTTACTAAGAAATTGGCTTTTGATTCGAATGTCAATAATATGTGAAATTGATCATCTATATCCTCATCTTCAAAATGAATTAGATCCGATAAAATTTTACTTGGTCGTTGCTATTCAAGCGTATGGAACAAATATTTGATAATATTATTTATCATGGCGATGATAATAGGAATATGTATTATAAAACGAAGATCTTTTCTTCCTTTCGAATTACAAACAAAAAATCACATTCAATCGTCGACGAACGCATGTTGAGAGTGCGTCTCGATAGTTCATTGATCCGAAAAATCGGTCTCTAAGATTGCTGGATTCGATTCCCACTTCAGACTGTATTTTACGACGGTTTGTTATTCGAAAGGAAGAAAAGAGAAAAAGCTTTACAAAAAAATCTTCGTTCTTATTTATCATGTGTTATAAACTTTTATTTCATAAACTGTTGAATACAACTTTGATACACGACAAAAAAAAGTCATTTGTAATTTTCTTCCTCATACGTTAAAAATCACTTAAGAAAAACAAATCGAAATTAATTATGATGCCATTATAACCCAAACAGCAACGTTTGAAACAAACACACATAATAAAATACAACAAAAAACTGAATAATTTAAAATACTACATTTGGCTTCGATATCTTTTTTATTTTTTCCTTTCGTTTTATCTTTATCAAAATCTTCTTGACAAAGTTCACATCGATCGCAGAAGTTACATTTTCGATCCGCTTTTTCTTTATTTACCTTTACATTGTCAGATTTTCCTATTTCATCTGTCGTTATATCGTTTTTAGTAGATTTGCCATCATCTTCAGACTTCTCGTGCGCTTTGTCTACATTTTCAACTTTTACACGTTTTTTTCGAAGACAAACAGAAAAGATTCGTCGACATGAAACACATCGATTTGGTGTTTTGTTCATTTTTTCTGCATCGTTCGAATCTTTCAATTCATCATCTTCCATTTGATTTACTTCTTTTTTATCATTTGAACCGATTTCTTTTGATTTTGAAAACCAATTCTCAGATTTTCTTTGTAATAATCCCGAGAAATGAAAAAAGTAACTTTGGTAATTCAGCTTTTGATATAAAATGATTACAAACAATGAACCATAACATTGATATTAATGTCCAACACATTGATAAAATGAAATATAAAGTTATCATCATTAAATATTGTGATTGTTGTGGAAATATATTTGCAAAAGTAAGTGAATTTACTGAATACGTCATAAAACAAGTCATACCTAAAATATAAAGTCAAAATCAATTCAAAGATTTCTTTTCTATGAAAACATATTTGTGTGAAAACTAACAAATATTTTCTCATTAAAATAACTTTTCAGATTTCATCAGAATATATTTTTTTCCTTTCAATAATTAATTCTCATATAAATATGAATTAAAAACAAGAAAATATTCTTACATAGACCAATTTGTGAACCAAATGGTAATGTAAATGCCAATAAAGTAACACAATTTAA